ACAGGAAGATTTGCCGATGACACAGTAATCATTGCCAGCAACAACGATTCAACGTTAGCTTCGAATTCTCTACAAGATCATCTATAAATGGTGGAAACATGGATGAAGAAATGGAAGATAAAAATTAATGAAAGTCACAGCAAGTAACCTTCACACTTCGGAAAGGGTACCAGTAATATATTAATAACACAGCTGTTCCCCAGTCCATTTCAGCGAAATATCTTGGGCTCCATATGGATAGCAAACTGACGTGGAAAAAACATATCATTAAAAAAAGAAAACAAATAGACTTGCGTGCAAAATAATTATCCTGGCTGCTTGGGAGAAGATCCAAATTATCTCTGTCAAATAAGCTTCTGCTATATAACACCATCATCAAGCCAATATGGGCATATGGAGCAGAACTATGGGGCTGAGCAAGTAAATCTAATATTCAGATAATCCAGAGGCTTCAATCGAAAGTACTCCGTATGCTAACTGATGCCCCTTGGTATGTGACCAATGACACAATCCACAGAGATCTCAATGTTCCATTGGTGAAAGATGTGATTCGAGAGAGGAGCAAGAAACACCACAAAAAACTGGAAAATCACAGTAATACATCATTACAACCTCTATTAGAACCCCCTAACCGCAGACGACTTAAGAGATATTGGCCAGCAGACCTACTTGATTTTTGAAGAGGTCTCATCTCACTGGATAGGACTTCATCATGCCACAACTAGTGCTGTAAACAGTACTATGGACAGCAGATTAGCTTATAGAATTGTTAAATTCTGATTGCTAATAAAGGATTGATTAAAAAAAAATCTCCTAGTCGGAGTCCAGATCACCGAGGCCCTGAACTGGCACGAACACGTCTCTTCAATAGCGGCAGCTGCTGGGAAAAAGCTAGGCTATTGGTTTAGGGCTAACAAGTACTTCTCAACGCATGACCTTCTCACTCTATCCAAGGCCCAGATAAGGCCTAGCCTCGAGTATTGCTCACGACGGATATCTTGCGACCAGCCATCCATATGCAAAGCTTTTCTGGGAGGCCATGGGATGGAAGTTTGCTTAAGAGGGCAGCGTGCCACAGCTGATCGAACATTTTCGAGATGTCAAGAGCAACGACATGAGCCTCACCATAAGACTGAATGAGTTTACTCCACAATTGCGTGACGTAACGTACAAGCAACGGTATCCTAATATGCGACATCCCAGGCCGGAAACATTTTCCACACTACGAGAACATTTTGAATCAAGTGGAGCTGTGGAATATAGTAAAAAATGTATAAATAATCCAGGTGTCACCAATGAGGCGAATCAGTTGGAGGTTCTATTAAAGTTGCAGGAAAATTCCCATTTAATAGATTTCCAAAATAAATGGAGCTTAAATGCTTGGGAGGAGTTATTGGCAGACAAGTTATCGGGCCTTTCTTTTCCGACAACAGATTAATAGGTACAGAATACTTGAATTTTTTGATCGAGCATTTGGCTTTGCTTTTGGACGATGTCAACCTGCAAACTCGGATGCATATGTACGTCCAACATGACGGCGCATCTGCGCATTATCATAATCGTGTGCGTAACTATTTGGACACCTGGGGTAACAATCGTTGGATCGGTCGTGATGGGCCTATTCTTGGCCTCCTAGATCACCAGATATGACACCGATGGACTTCTTTTTATGGGGTTACGTTAAGCAAGAGGTTTATATATATCCACCAGCTACCCCGGAAAATATGAAGGAAAGGATTAAGGATGCTTTTCTGAACATAAGGGAACAGATGCTGAGGGATGTGCAACGGTCATTTATCCAAAGACTACGGCTGTGTATTCAAGATGGTGGAGATATTTTCGAGCAGTTTTTGTTGATTAGGTCTTGAGTAGTGATAGTTGTTTGTTTATGTTGTTGTTATAGCTGTTTTTCTCTATTACGCTTGAAGCTGATTTATGCTGTCTGATTCTATTAGTTTTTACGTCAAATCTATAACATGCCATAAATAGATTTTCCCAAAATGTATTTGTTTATGAGTAATATTCCGTCCACACATGGATGGGTCACCCTGTACATCTGAATATACCAATGTCAACCAACTGCGCCAGAAAATTGATGAAGCAAAAATAAAAATTATGGAATACGCAAATTCATTTGAAAGAAAAAGATAATCTTATTAGAAGGTGTCGCTTGTGTATAGAAACTAATGGAGGCCATTTCGAACATGTTCTTTAAAAGTTAGTTAGATTACATTATCTTCCACATTTGTCGGCAAATCGCCATAAAGAGCGGCTAAGCACAATAGCTTCTGTACTTGTAGGTGGTAAGGATTCTATTGCGTTTCTTAGGTTTATCGCATCACAACAACAAATGTGACATAGTACACTCATCGTAGCAAGCTGAAATTTTAAGGGTTTATTCTACATGGATTGAAATAGTTTTTACAATAAAATGGATAATGGAATTTTTTGCCGCCCTCTAAAGTTGAGGGTTGGACGAGATTTTTCACAAAAAAATGAATTTAAGATTTTTTGCGTTGATTTCTAATAAGCTCTGTTAAAGGTGGCAAACCGTTGCTGAAAATAACCATTTAGCTCATCTTAAAAAAGTCACAGCCCTAAACGTAATGGTTTAGTTGTAATTGCGATTGAAAGTTCATTCAGTTTCACAAAATTTCAAATATATCCTGGACTATAAAATTTGGACCACACATAAATATACAGGTTCATTCGACAGGTTTTGAGGCCCTCTATCACCTGTCTTCCGTCGATCCACTACTAACTTTACATCCTGTATTAACAATATTAAAAAATGGAAATCTTGATAATGATAAGTATTTTAAAAAGCAATAGCTACAGTCTGCTGTGAAGTGCAAATGTTACATCTCGACTTAAGGGTCACTCAAGGCTGCGTTATTAATCGTTCAAATTCCAAGGGTTGATCATCCCTCCACTGGCACTCAGCCCTTGAGAGTCGACTATAAATCTGGGATTGATAACGGACTTCGAACAAACAACAACTCTTCCTTCAGGATTTTTTGGACGTTCTCAAAAATATTCGACAACAGCAAAATTTATTTTTTTGAAATTTTAAAAATTCTACAAGTTTTTAATAAATTAGGATTTTCTAAAATGCTAGATATTTTGAAAATATTGAAGATTCAAAACATTTTTATAATCTAAATATTTTGGAATCAAAAAACCGCGCAAATTATTAAAACTATAAATTTCCCAGATTTTAAAAGTCTGTGATGTCAACTGTTGCAGCCTGTAAAATGTAAATGTTAAATCATCCGTTTTGAATGTTCCTCAAGGAAGCATTAGTTTTTATTTAAAATCCACCTCAAACTCCACCCAATACTCAAGAATGCCCATAAATGTCACCCTTAATTTCGTGTTGTGACGCACTCATTTAACCTGTTCACAAACAGAATTCAGGGCACGAGCTCCTCGTCTCAACTGCATTAAAAGATTTATTATTTATCATAAATCTATTTCGGGAACTGTTTCTGGGAATTGTCCTGATCACTGTTTGTTCATTGGAATTAGCTTCTTGCATTTCACATGCATGCTGTTTACATGTATGCATGGCATACGGGGAGCATACAAATATTGTATACAACAAGCAGATACACAATCGTTAAAATCTGAAAAGGTAGGTTCATTACTGATGAACAGATTTCCAAAATATATGGACCATTTTCTGCTGAAATTTTCTTATACGTTTACGTATCTGTGCGAAAAAGTATTCAGATTCGAATGAACGAATGCATGTTACCATACACAAATTGTGTCAATTTTTTTTTTTCGCTTCAAAGCTTTTTTAGTCATTTTGAACAAAAAAGTTTTTTACGAACTTTTTGCTAAAGTTGATAGATTTGATACAAATATTCTTCAAACATCGGTTACCAAAATCCTACAGGGTATTGTTATTGTAAATATTTGTCTTTTAATTGTTAATCAAGGACTCGCTCAAGCATATTCTGCTTAAGGGAGAGTGGTGCAGTTGGCGACCGCCCCTACAATAAAAACACCCTAAAAAATGCTTTAGTGCTACATGGCAATATTATAATTTTTTGTTTTTTCAACTTGTTTTGGGGCTAAAGATGGCATATTTCGCACCTTTTCAAAATATGTAATCGCTTATATCTCGAAAATTATCAAAAGTTATTAACTGCTTTTTTGTTCAGAATGTCCAAAATATGGCAACTGCGCAAACTCAAAATATTGTAACAACACACTACAGAAGACAACTGGTTAGAAACTGTAAAACACCGTATAGCGGTTAAAAACCTTCCAAAAATCATAACTTTCATAAAGGAGTTCCAAACATAGAAAATACATATACACATATACGTAGGGTGACAATATGTACTTTTTTTAGTAGGACAGTACTTTCTTTTCAAATGCTGTCCTATTGTACTTTACGATTTATGAAGTACATCTACATGTACTCTTTTTCTTAATTACACAAAATTTAGTCCTACTATTTGTGAAAACGAAATATAACTATGATTATTATGATTTGAATTGATTCAAGAATCGATCTTTTGTGGAAGAATCGCCCATCCCTAGCAGCAACCGATCGCAGGTTGTCGTCTAGTTTAGCCGATACGTCCATCTCCCATCTCTGTCTATTTCATTTCGCAGCTAGTATCTCGTCGTATGTTTACTAGTTACTTCTGGGCTTGCTGTCGATTAGTCTATTTACCTTTACGTTAAATTCCGGCAGTTTTTCTTGTATCTTATACTTTTTTGTGCTGTGTGGAAAAGTAAACAATTTTATCATGTCACCGCCTCGAAGAAAATGCCATTTTAACGCTGTGTTGCAAGCAGAGTATCCATTTTTGAAACAAAAATCAAATGTTTCACCGCATATTGTGTTTTGCCAAGTTTGCAGAAGTGATGTTGATATTTCTAACAGTGGTCGCAGTAATATCAAACAACATTAGTCCAAGAAGAAACAGAAGAGCAGAAAATTGGAAACTTTTCTTAAAAGTGACAGTTCAAGTTCTGAAGATATGTTGATTGCTGCCAAGGAAGGTACTTTTGCTTACCATACAATTAAGCATTTGCAAAGCTTCAGATCCTTAGACTGCACGTCAAAACTAATTGTAAACATGTTTGAACCAAAATTTGCGGCAGCTCGAACCAAGACTGAGGCGATTGTAAAAAATGTTTTAGCTCAAGAAGCTCAGTCCCAATTAGAAATTGACCTTCGAAAAGCAAATTTTGTTAGCATCACGATCGATTCGTCAAATCATCGAGAAATTAAAGTTGTGCCCTTAATGGCAAGGTATTTTGATGGTGAAAAGGGTATCCAATTAAAATTACTTCAGCTGCGTGACTTACCTGGAGAAACATCAGAGCAGTTGAAATATTACGTGGCGAGTGCTTTGAATCACCATAATCTACTTCAAAAATGCATCGGAATGTCTGCTGATAACACAAATACAAATTTTGGTGCAATGAGGAGAAAAGGAGTGAATAATCTATTCAGCAAGTTAAATGCTTCTCGTGGCAAACCCGTCATTGGAATTGGTTGTGTAGCACACATCTTTAACAACTGTTTACAAAATGCGACGGACGTCTTACCAATAGACGTCGAGGTTATTGCGGTCAAGATTTTTAAGCATTTCTATATTTTTACAGTCAGAGTGGAGAAACTAAAACAGTTTTGTGATTTTGTTGATGTCGAGTACAAAAAAATGTTGTCGTTTTCAAAAACTAGATTCTTAAGCCTAATGCCAGCCATTGAACGAATTGTACAAATGTTCGAACCCTTGAAAGCATATTTTTTATCGATTGATAATTGTCCAACAGTTCTAAAACAGTTTTTTCAAAACCCAATCAGTGAAGCATGGATGTGGTTTGTGCATAACATTGCGTCTCTCTTCCACAAAGTGATTTTAGATGTAGAAGGTGACAAAATATGCGCAACAGAAGCCGCTTTGGAGTATTTCGAACTCATAAATAAGCTTCAAAATCGTTTAAATGAGTTATATTTACAGCTTAAAGTAAGAGAGTCACTTTCGAAACTTGAGAATATGGGAGACATTGACCGTAGTGTAAACTATCGGGATATCTTCATCATGCATGTCAAGCAGTTCTATTCGAATTGTGTAACATATTTGAAAAACTGGAGTGAAAATTTAAGTGAACTAAAGCTATTCGGATGGGTTAACTTGAAAAAACAAGTTTCTTGGGCTGAAATTTGGTCGTCGTGTGAGGCTTTCAAGGACTACATAGGTCCGATATTGAATCAGGACGAACTGTTCGATGAAGTTAGTTTAATACGAACCAACGTTACAGAAGATAAAATCGTAGACTGGAATTCGAGAAATATTTCTACCGAAGATCGATGGCTCGAAGTCTTCCAAAAAGAAAGTGCTTTGAAAAATCTCAAAATTCTATGCGAGTTCGTTTTTTGTCTGCCTGGGACCAGTGCGTCGCTTGAGAGGTTGTTCTCAAATATCAATAACTATTGGAGTCCCGACAAATCGCAGCTGAAAATATCTACTCTGGAAGCCATCATGCAAGTCTACACAAACTTCAAAGTTTCGTGCAATGAAATGTTTCAGTTCTTAAAGAGTAAACCACAACTTCTGAAGGAAATTCATGGTTCCAAAAAGTACGACTGGTACCAGAATGATGATCAAAATTTTCTGGCAGGAACGTCGAAAGAAAATTAGCTTTTAAAATTAGCTTTAAATATATATATACATAATTTATATACCTATGTTTGATTTAAAAAAAAAACATTCTCTTATTGTTCGATTAAAGATTCTTAAAATTTTAACCAGATAAATTTTCTAGAGTATTGTACTGAATTTCCTTTAAATTTATAAATGTACTTTTTTTTTGATGAAAAATTATGGTCACCCTACATATACGAGTACAGTGCTTTTGAAAAAGCCCCGCACACTACTTATTTTTTGAACAGGTCAAGTTAGCAAACTGAACTTCAGCGCGATGTTTGTAGTTCAAAATATTGAAAATGGCGGCTGAGGACAATCTTGCAACATTATCTAAATGGAATTTGGGGCTGTGGCGAATTTAGTCGTCTGACATTTGTTTTTGTAATCTAACACCAATGTGCTACTTTCTGACACATAGCGACAGAGACAGTGACAGACTAACTATAAGTTATAGCTATAGGAACTGAGCACTGCGATTTTTTAGTACCCTTTGGTATTCCAAACGCTGTCCCTCTTTGACATCACTTACATTTACAGCACAATTCTTACGATTTATATGTATATATGTACGAGTATTGCAACTTGTGACAAATCTAAGTCTGGGTAATATATTACCAACACAGATTGCACTTAAAAAGTGATTTATGTTCTGTTTGTTGGTCAATAGTAATTTGAAAAGTGTGTAAAGATTGACTGATTTTGTTCGGGGTTAGCGTTCCAGCGAAGCACTATGATATGATAGATGAACGCCTAAATTGGAAATAGATATTTATAAGATCTGTTTAGCGGTGCGCCTGTGGCCTGTCCAGAAAATCCGTCGATCGATGCTCAAAGTCAAAAATTACCACACGTTCCGCATCTCTTCCCGCGTATGTGTCTATTTATGTTGCTATATTGAATTCGTTTAAATCACAGAGCTTCTGCACTACACGTGAATATGTACATCCCTGAATTCCTGTACTTGTTTCATACAAGTATAAATTATCAAAATAATTACGATCTAACAGATATAGTTTTTTTCAAAGATCTCCAACATTTTTACATACGATCATACCGAATCGAAAACTGAGAAAACAACAACTATGCCAGCTCTTAGGGAATTAGCATCTAAAATTCTTGCCACTTAGAGTACGCTATCGAAACAATAAATGACCTGTGAGTTTAGAAAATTTTAGACAGAGAACCAACATATTGATGTAAATGGCTTTTTAGACAACTTTGAAAGTGGCTTCAATGGTAAAACAGAGCTAAAAAGATAAGAATAATATCTTTGTTGATATCTTGACTTTTAGGTCATATTCAACATTTCCCTTGAGGTTTAGTATCTACAACTCCAAAGAAAGGAATCCTCTGGAACATCCCAAGAATATTCTCGAGAACCTTCAATTTCAAAAATTCGACGGATATTTAGAGCAGTCCACACCGACTTTAGTAACTCTAGTAACTCATAGCAAAACCAATCCTGGGTATCGGATTATATCTCACAGTCACGTAACGAGAAACTCTGAAACGGAAAACTGGGCCATAAATAAAGTTGGATTAAAAATCGACCTGGAAAAGTTCGGTGATTATGTGAATTGCGTGAAAGCTGAAGCTGCCCTCATTCTCGCTCCTCAGGTCGTGATGACCTGCAGAACTTTCCATACCGACGTCATTTTCCCTATCCGACGCTTTTCTTTTACGTGCATTCTTTTCCTCTACTTTTGGATTTTTTAAGGATGAGCTTGATTTATGTGCTAATTTTTCTGTCGGAGTTTTCTTTGTTGTCTCCAACTTTTCGAATTTTTGCATATTATAGCCCCTGATGGATTAATACTCGTTGCTAACGCGACGTCATCCACAAAAGTCTTGACAATAAATATGAGCAATAAATTAATGCACTCTCTTCTGCAGACGGTACCACCTCCGTTAGTAAGTGTCTCAATTTGTATACCTACATAATGGAACACCTGGTGGTGTACGTGATCAGTCTCATCGTATTGAAGGAACTTTCTCTCCTGGTTTTACATCTGTTTCAGACGTCTAACAACTCTGCCATATTTCCAGACACCCAGAAGTTCGTTCAGATTCAACTCGTCCCAAAAACATATTGAAAACTGGTCCAAATAACTACAAGCTTACAGGTTTTCTGTGCATCACATAGGGAGCTTCTAAAATATCTCGAGAATCACCGCTTTTTGTCACTAAAGATCAACTGAGGATCTCCTAGCTTACGTTCCAAATGTGGAGTAAGCTGATTAACTCCTCAACACCAGCAAACTTCTGATCAACACCTATAAAAAGAATTTGTAAATGGAATCCGGACTTCCTTTCCAGTTGAAACATATCCATCGGATTGCTGGTTCTTCTCCTGATCCCACGAAACTAATGCAAGTGTTCCCCAGAGATGGGTTTTGGTCCAATGTTTTATATTACGTATTTAGATGCCTAACAGCTCCGGCATCTTCTCAGGCATTTTGTTCATATTTATATCATCCAAGGAAAATTACTGAAGGCTGATCCAAATAAGCATAAGCTCACAGGTCTTTTGTGAATCAATAGGAAGATTCCAAAATATGTCGACCAGCACCGCTTTCTGACACCAGAGATCAGCCTACGACCCAATTGTAGTGTATGCTATTGATATCCAAAAAACGTTCCGTCAACCCTTATAAAGAGCCTTTGTAGATGACTTCCTTTCCAGTTCAACGATATAATTTGGATGACGGATTCTCCTCTTGAAACCACAATCTTAATGCAGGTGTCCCCCTGAGATGGGTTATGATCTGTTTCTTTTGCACATGAACAACCTTCTTTTCTGCACAGCAAAGCTGATCCACAGCTCTGGCTGATAGCACAATCTTTGCGATTTAGCTGCCAATCGTATAGGGTCAAGATTGGTAGAGTCAAGTCTCTTAGAACAGTGCGAAATATTGAGAAAGTAAGTTGGATGTTTAGGACTCTATTGTGGCGTAATCCTAACTCATTTCAAAATGTCGATCTTAGTTTTTTTAAATATCGAGAGACACATTAATTGTATCATGACCATTCACCCAAATGATTTGACTTTTATATTGCGTACTCTTTGTATTCCTATTCGCCGTCTAACGAAACATGATTTACGGTACTAATGTTGCCATGATCAATAAAGTAGCACAACTTACCATCGGCAGCTATAATAACAGGAATGTTTGGTAATGCTTCAGCAATCGTTGAAGGAAGAGTTTCAGAATTGAAGTTCAATTCAATCACCTCAACTGGATTCTGAACAAGACGAGTATTTTTCTGGACATTATGTTTGATTAAGGGCATGATATCTCCCTTATCAATGTCTAGAATATTGGAATACTTAGAACAGAACATATTTGCATTTTTCCTGTTATTACCTGTACAAAATACTGGTGAAAACATAGAGGCAATAATACTGGAGAGGCCGACGCCAGATCCAAGTTCTAATATATGCGTCCCTTTTTGAATATTTTTGCTGTTGTATATTAACCAATCGGCTAACAAAAGGGCTCCTCTCCACACTTGGAGTCCAACCAACCCTAATACTGTACTCCTCTTATTTTCTGGAAAGAAAGCAGACGATTAAAACCATTCTTGTGTCGATATTATAACTATTACCTACCTATATCTACATAGTTCTTACGACTGAATTTCCTTCTAGGAACTATGAGATCACCGTCAGAGTCAACCATGACAGAATTGTCATGTGGTGTTGAGAATTCAAACCTTGACACCTCATCTGGAACGATATATTTATAATAGTTTCAAAAATCAATTGAATAAAAATCTATCAGCTAGATGTTCTACCCTCTGTATAATATATGTTACTGGGGTGTATAGTGGTTGTGAACTGTTTAATAACTTACAGCTGGGATTGAAGGTTGGCTTACTAGGCGATGTATAATCAATTTCTTCATAGATCTCGGAAGATACATGGTTATCGTCATCATCCATTACATCTGAAAGAAAATATAACTAATAACTACATCATCAGTTTTCAAGACACTGTAGCTTCATTAAACAACACAAAATGCATTCTTGTCTCTTTCACTTTTTGCGTGCTAGGCTTATTTTTCTAAATAAGCTCCATTCTCGAAGCGATACTCCTCAATATTGAAAGTTGACTATCTATATTATTTTTTGTAGTAAAATGACATAGATACACAAAAGGTGAATTTTAAAATGAGATACTAACCTTTTTGAAACTATATATAGTCAATAGAGAAAGAGCTGTTACAAATTCTCATAGATGACACTACGGTATCTCGATTTATCGCGAATAATTTTGGACGCGCTAGTACAGCATTGGGTTGGATATCTTCAGGCAGGTTGCGTTAGTCAATGTAATAAGGTTACCTAGAAATCCACTGACACTGACGGATGCATCAGTAAATACTGATAGTACGGACTATATTTTAAATTACCATGGAACATTCACCTATTTATCTCCAATTAGAAAACGAATTCGCACTTTTCCCCTTAAATGATGTTTTTCCATTCGAAAGGCCGTATCCAACGGTATATCACTATCATTTTACAACTACTGATCTGGATACCGTTCATCTTTCATTATGACTTCGTGAAAGTATGAACAAATAATTATGTTACTTGTATTCGTCTCTATGTCGTCTTAATAAGCTTGATTTTCATGCCGTGTACTGATATGCAAAATTTGGAAGCAAGTCAACATTGACTGCGAGTGAATATAACCACACCGTTTTTCATATCCTTTCCATGCTTGAATGGTAATTTAGATAGATGGCATCGTTATCCCCAACACACCTGAAGGCCCATCAAAAACCGCATAACGCACTGCAGAACGCCGCCGAAATCGACGTGCAATCAATTACGTCTCTGTATTAGGGTTGGCAATATCATAAATCACTCTACACCTGAATCAACCGCAAACATGACGCGGCATCACTATTCTGCATAGCCGCTAGTCTATTTTCCGGTATTTTAGAAGAATGCGTCAGTTTATCTTAGGGCCGGTCTGAATTATTGGTATTTTATGGTTAAATGCGGAACCAATGGACTGGACAGGCGACCAAGTCCATAAGCATACGAGAACGTAGTTCATACTATGAACAAAATCATGTAAATCGTAAATCGTGTAAAGCACCAAACATAAGAAAAAGCGGTTTGCGTCAAATTTTATAAAATGTGTACGACTCCATACATAGGGAAAATCCGAACAAAGTAAACTCCTTAAGCATTCTACTACTATTACAAACAAATCATCGTTAGGTCGAAAGATGTAAAATGTTCCATACCTACCACGCCCTAACTTGAGAACGACTTTACCGATTTCATTCATCTTTTTTTTCAAAGTTCTCTTATGCTGTATAGAAGGTTATTACGGGAAAATAAAGTCAAGAAAATTGCGCAGAAAATTGGGATATCATTGAAAACCTGATGATTATTTAAGCTACGCGCATTTGACAGTTTGCTTGAGCATGGAGCACGCACAGCAGAATTATATATCTCCAGTACCAAAATAGACAGGCACTCCTCTCCGCCATCTTTATTCCATAAGCTATTGACACTTAGACACTGAGAGAAAAATGATTATGAAAACACGATGGTTTCTTTTTTGGACTTACATTTCTTTACTATCCATACTTTGTGATGACCCCTTCAAAAGACACTGCAGTGTTGCCTAATTGTTATCTTTGTCAGTTAACTCTATGGATAAAAATGGCGAATGAAAATGCGTTTCTTCTGCTTAATTGACTTTCACTACTCTATCATTTTGAACTTGACAGCTCACACGCCGCAAATTTATATTATCGTTTAACAGTAATCAAATTCAAGCGGATAACCAAATGGAAATGGTATTTACCATTTTGGATAGGTATTTACCGATCCGTTCAAGCGAGTGTGGTTATCAGTTTGGTTATAAGATCCGTGACGTCATGAATCAGCTATTATATGTCATAGTTATCACCGCAAAATTGTGGTATTTACCCAACTCGGGAGTAGTTTTATATTTCTGGTTATTACTTGACATGTGACAAGTTAGAATTTTGCCGGGTATTGGATATTTTTATTGTACTTCAGCTCCATTTTTGGGAAACTTGAAACAGGCTGACTTCAGTTTTAGCATAAGAGAGCACCTTATTATTTATAATTATTACTGTTGTTGGGGACACTTTAAATCTTGTTCCTACGCTTAACAAAGTATCCTGTATAGCCATATACCACAAGAATATTAAAATATGGCCGTATAAACTCACTGGATGATGTCCACCTGTATACGGTTTTGTTAATATCTTTTTTCATCGCTTTTTCATCATTTCTGCTAAATCTATAAATATTTTCTTTGACATGCGGAAAAGTTTAGAGAATTGAAGGTTATCATAGCTACAAAGCCATGGTTCCATCAGTAAACATTTTTTTCTGAAAAAAAAACATTCATCCCATTAATATTATGAAAATTTTCTTTTTTTCAACTTTCCATACCCCGTTGTAGACGAAAAAGCACCGATTATTAAGTGATAATAAAAATAATCAGAAATTATATACGCGCTTTTCTAAAATAAACAACTTGCAACAAACCGCGGTTAAAACCAACGCGTTCAAGCGATTCGAGTAACTGACGTCATCATCCCGTGTGTCATCTTGAACCATATTATAACCGCGGTACATAATACGGAAATTTTGGTTATCCGCTTGGATTTGATCAGTGTTTGTCGATGAAAAAATATTGTTTCATTTAATTAGTAGTGCACAGTCCGTTCGATTAGAGCTTTTATCCAGTTTTCAGTTTGTTCAATGAGTTTTTTGAGAAATATTTGTTCAAACATAATTAACAAGGGTAGAAGTTAGTTCACTGCAATCACGCCTTATATTAAAATATTGTGAGAAGCGAGAAATGAAGTTGAACGGGATCAAAGGACTGAAATTCAACAACATAGAAGTGTCTGTCGCATTTAATCCCAATCGAGCTGCATTCAATTATGACGTGGCAATCGATTACAGTTCACAACAAATCGTTGCTATTGGACCAGTGAACGTTGTGAGTTCACATTGCAAGGCTTTCAAGTTTAAAAATGAAGCCCCTGGATTATGATGCGTCAGTGGAATGATCAAATTGACTCCATTGGGCCATTGGTACCACCACCAGAGTCACTACATTCATTGGTTTCCAGAAATGGGCCAGATTCTATAAATCTTTTGACTCTTATCCAGAAATACAATAATTGCTTTCAAATGTCGTCATTTGGTGCTAGAAAATTCATTCCATATAATTTTATGCCTAATTTCAAAGTAAGTTGATGGGGGAATGACAGTGCTGCCAACGTATTTTGCTAGCCACATGGCGGTACAAACACTTCGCTATACAATTACCAATATTCCATATATTTACCCTTTTATTATTCATTATTCATTCGAGTTCATAGCTAAGGGTCGTATCGTTAGTCTTTCCTACAATAAATTGTGGGACGCCCTTATGGCCTCCTTGATTTTCATAGTATTTTCTCTCCTCCAGAAAGGCTGGGGAATTTCTAGATTTCTACCGCTCCGTGTCAGCGTCAGCGCTTTCCTATTGTGAGGTTAGGTTATCTTTTTGATTTGTATGAAATTTCAGGCTGATATAACAGATGATATAAATCAAAAGCATGAACAATTTGATGCAAATAGTTATTTGTAACTTAACCTCAAAATAGAGCGCCATGAAGGCGTCATACAATTGTAGGAACGACTGACGATACGGCCCTAAGATAGGACAACGTCTGTCGGGTTAGCTAGTGTAAGATATAAATATGGATATTAGCTGAAAATAGACATATGTTTAATAATCCGGAGCCTGGCAATCCGCTTTCTCAAAAACGGTTTATTTAGTCGAAATAAAACAAGAATATATATTTTCAAATAAAGGTACGGACATTTCAAAAATATTTCTCAATGGGTATTATTATACAGGGTTTGTCCAGAAAGTAATAGGACTGAGTCGATTTAAAAAAAAATTGAGCCAATTGTTACAATTCTTTAAAAACTTTCAAAATAGGCTCCTTCTGCGTCGATGCAGCGCTGCCAGCGCGATTTCCAAGCATTGAAGGCGTCACGGAAGGCATTCTCCGGAATAGCCTTGAGAGCCGCGGTGCATGCTGCTTGGATCCCCTCTGTCGTCTCAAAATGCTTGTCTTTCATCGGCCTTTTCAGGCGAAGAAACAAAAAAAGTCCGGGGGGGCACATCTGCGCTGTAGGGCGGCTGCGGAAGCGTTGGGATGCCGGCCTTGGTCAGGTAGCTGTTCACAAGAAAGGCGGTGTGAGCCGGGGCGTTGTCGTGGTGCAACTTCCAGTCGGCTGCGATGTCTTATCGGACCCGACTGACCCTTCGTTTGAGTCTTCTGAGCACTTCCTCGTAAAACTTGGCGTTGACGGTTTGTTCAGGAGGAACAAATTCATAGTAGACGATGCCTTAGATGTCAAAAAAGACAATGAGCATCGTTTTTACTTTGGATTTGCTCATTCTTCCCTTTTTTGGGCGAGGAGACGCCGTGGTGTGCCACTCGGGAGATTGCCTCTTTGTCTCGGGATCATACTCAAATATCCACGACTCGTCACCTGTGATTACGTTATTCAAAAATTGGGGGTCACTTTGACACATGTTCAAATTTTCTTGGCACACTTCCACTCGCCGCAATTTCTGGTCGTCAGTGAGCACTTTTGGGACCATCTTCGCGCACACCTTGCGCATGTTCAAATGCTGTGTCACAATGTCATGAACCACAGATTTTGGTAAATTTAACATCTGTGCAATTAAACGAATACTTAGTCTACGGTCTGAGTTCAGAAATTTGCGCACACGAGTCTCATTATCGGTGTTTGTCGAAGTCGAAGGTCTTCCAGCACGGTCTTCATCAGCGACCTCTTCCCGGCCCTCCGAAAAGGCCTGGTGCCACCGAAACACACCACTTCTTGCTAAAGCAACACCTGGATAAGCCTGCTTGATCATATCAAACGTCTCTGTCGCAGATTTACCGAGTTTCACACAGAATTTAATCGCGTACCTCTGCTCTAACGAACGCTGCATTTTCGGCTTACACCACTGACAGAAACCCGTCGCGCGAAAATGCCTGTCCTGACTCTCCAAGTACTCGGAGACAACTGACCAGCTGCTCATTCGTTAGCTAGGAACGCCCTCTACCGAATCCAGTCGGTGCGCGCACGCTCCGAAGTACAGTCATGGCGGAAGAAAATGAGTCCTATTACTTTCCGGACAAACCCTGTATAGGGTATGAAAAATGTGTAATATTGTGTAAGACTTGGCGAGTCAATTTTTTTCTGTAGACATCATCATGTGAAGCCACGCAGCCAAAATTTTGTTGGAATATAGAGTGTTGTGCAAAAGCTATTTACTTAGGAAAAACCGATTGCCGGTGACATCATTTAGGGGTTCCCATCTACGAGGCGCAGCAGTATTTCGAAAATCTTCAAAGAACCTTAGAATAATCCAAAGAATCATCCCCTGAATTTTTTGCCCCTGTTTTGGAATCAACTTGTGCATGCGCAGAAGAGTCCGGTAGTTAACATCTTGGTCGCTGGAATGCCTGTAACTCAGTCGTTCACTTTTTCACTCAGTAAACACTATTCGCAGAATCATTCAAGACAAAAACTGAATTATTTTAAAGTACATAAAATTCATCGAAAACGTCAATATCCGTTATATCAAGTGTCAAAACTTTTCTGGAAGGAACTGCGAAAATACATTTTGTAGCACCCCCACCCATGCAATGATTTATGCACCATAGCTACTTGCTACTTTACCAAGAAAAAAGCTTCAATCAAGAGAGAGCAATACTCTATATTTTATTTGGGTCCATGAAAACGTCGACATGGTTTTTTATTTTATTTGTGGTTTCCTTTTTCCTTCTTATTTCTACATCTGTGCGCAATCTATGACATTTTCATAATAAACCGTAAATCCTATCATGAATCAAATAAAAACAAGTTGAATCGGTACTGAGAGTTATCTATCTTCATTTAGTGAAAAAATGTCGTCCATCCGACCACAGATGATCAACCATGGATAACTGCTTCGTGCTATTTGGCCAACTCATTAGCATGATCTATGCTTGGTCTCAGTTAGGATAACAAACGAAAGCTGAGTTCGATTCAGAGTATAAGGTTTATCGAAATAAGACAGTACAAATTGCCAACTATTACCAGAATTGAGAAAGAAAACTGCAAGCTGTCTGCTGGAACTGTATCCTAGCTTTCGTTTCTTGTCCTACCTGAGATCAAGCCCAGGCCATGCTGAGGAGTTTCCAAATAGTACGAAACAGCTATCCATCATTGGACGACTGTGGTCGGACGAACGAAAGCAATATTACTAGTTCATTCAATGGCGAGTAGACCAGAATCGGAGGCATATAACGGTCACAGTGGTGACCCGGCTGAGAATGGGAACTGGGATACAGTTCCAACAGACAGCTTGCTGTTTTCATTCTCGCAGTAGTCGATTCTGGTAATAGAAGGCACTTTGTTCTGGTTTATTTCGTTAGCATCTAGTATTCTGCGTGGACGTGTATTTGCATAAGGTTGCAGACATATGTTTTTTAGTTAATTGTCCACCTTGAAAATTCTCTTGTTGTCATGGACGTGTGATATAAGTTTACCTCTTGTTGATCTTCGATATAAATATAGCTATGTCTTAAGATACAACTACAATGTCGACAGTTTTTGTCAAATTTATTGGAATATCTACAGAAAGTGAATGAAAGCAACGGCCCTCTATCAACCAATGCATGTGTGTCTGCAAGCTCGATTAGCAGGTGCGTTTAGAATTAGCTTGAGCAGTGCGCATTTCCCTTGTGTTGCTTCTTGTTCTTTCAAGTTTATATCTTTTATAGCCATTTTTGGTTCGTTCTGTTGGAAAACTTTACAACTAAATAGCAATAGTTCGATACCAGATCTAGGTTCATAAATTGGTCTACAATAGTTTCCTATTTCTGTTTGTTGATTATTTTTCTTTATAGTACATCTGTGTGCAATCCATCACATCTTCCTAATATCCGCCAGCAATAAATCCCGTCAAAAATCAGCCTAAATCAAATAAAAAACAGAATGAATCGTTCTGGAAGTTAGCCAACAACTCGCTAGATGTTATTTCATAACACACCGCTCGCATAACCGGTCATAAGTGTCACGTATTTTTTTCAAGTATGTGGGTGAATAGATAGACGAGCATGAGAACAATCAGCGTACCCACCGGGAGTGTCCTGCGGACCCATAAACCACCAACGGGAGCGTTCTAATATTTACTACACGCACAACGACTGCTCCTGCTGAAAAAAATCCACTATATATTATACAACCACACGGAACGTTTGCAGTCACACATCTGGACAGCGATGTGAGGGTTCGGGATCTAGCTGTCAGCGATATAATACAGACAATGTAGTAAATAATAGACTGCTGCTGCCTCTATGAATAAATAAAAGAATCAGATGCTACTAGGACCGTCTACTAAATTAATATATATATATATACCTGTACCTACCCCAGAGCCAGACTAGGTTATGTCCTTTTTTGTTAAAAATGAGTTTAATATTGTGAATTTTCATTTGCTACATGCAGCGTCCAACTATCTTTAATAATAAGGAAGTTACGACTTTCTATCTCATATCAAGTCGTATTCAATACAATGCATGAAAAATAATTCATATATAATTATCTCAAAACTAGTTATTTGGACTACTCGTAAACCTAGTCTGGCTCTGAGGTACAGATATATAAATGAGTCCCTATTTCGCGTGGTCACGCCATAACTTGAGAATGACTTTACCGATTTCACTTATCTTTTTTTTTTCAGTTTCCTGTATTGGGGGTTTTTAAGGAAAGAAAAATCAAGAAAATTGCGCAGAAAACTGGGAAATCATTGAAATCCTAATGATTATTTAAGCTATACGCACGTTTGACAGTTGCTTGAGCATGGAGCACGCACAGCAGAAGAAATATCTCAAGTACCAAAAGAGACAGGCACTTCTCTCCGCCATCTTTATTCCAGCTATTGACAGTTAGCTATGTGAGAGAAAATTGCTCATGAAAACACGGTGCTTTCGTTTTTGGACTTACAATTTTTTTACCAACCGTACTTTGTGATGACCCCTTCAAAAGAAACTGCAGTGTTGCCTAATTGTTATCTTTGTCAGTTAACTCTATGAATAAAAATGGCGGATGAAAATACGTTTCTTTTGCTTAATTGACTTTCACTACTCTCATTTTGAACTTAATAGCTCGCATGCCGCAAATTTATATTACCATTTAACAGTGTTTATCGATGAAAAAATATTGTTTTATTCTTATAGTAGTGCACAGTCCATTCGATTACAGCTTTTATACAGTTTTCAGTTTGTTCAGTGAGTTTTTTGAGAAGTATTTGTTCAAAAATAATTAACAGGAGTAGAAGTTAGTTCACCACAATCACGCCTTGTATATTAAAATTGTGATTCTTCAAAATGCCCCCAATTAGACGTACCAACCTAGGCCCCAGAACTCGCAATGCTGCAAGTCAAAGATATATACGAAGAAGTCAAACTAATGAGCAACGAGAAGGGGGAAATGAAGTTGAACGGATCGAAGGACTGAAATTCAACAACAGATGTGTCGCATTTAATCCCAATCTAGCTGCATTCAATTATGGCGTGGCAATTTTACGCCTACTTTCAAGGAAAGTTGATAGTGGAATGACAGTGCTGCCAACGTATTTTTTATTATTCATTCCAGTTCATAGGTAAGACAGGACAACGGCCGTCGGGTCAGCTGGTAAAGGAATATTTATTCTAATTCATTCCATGGGAATCTATGCGCAGTCTTGAGAGTGACTACTGTTACACGAGTACATATTTTAGTTAAGCTTAACACAATTGTCTCACAATTGTACACTATTTCTTGCGGGGAAAAATAAGTGGTTTATGATGAGGTTCTCTCCATCCCCTTCTGACCCATGTGAGATTGGGTGAAATTCGACTAGATCCCCTTCCCTTCTAAACCAAAACGTATTAAATGGAAGCAGCTTTGAGAAATTTAGATATTCCGAAACATACCTAGGACAGCCTACACAATGCCCCTTTTGCACCTTCTTTCATAGTAAGTAGGTAGGTTTTGACAAAGCTAAGTACAGTTTTGGTATAAGTTCTCTCCATATTTTGAGGATCCAAAGTAATGAACACCAGTACAGTTTGTGTTTGTTAGCTTAGAAACAGTAGACCTAGAGAGAAAATAGTTAATCTCCCATCTATTCCACCAGCAGTTTTATGTCGCTTGTATCAACATCATTGGCGGATTTAGGGAAAGGACTGGGTCTGAATCGTGGTGGCATGTCTACCGTCTCCAGAAGCAACTACTTCCGCTGTCCAATTGTGACAAAGGCAATTAGTTAGATATTAGAACGGCTGCCCAAGTACTCAACATAACCTTCCCACTAAGTCTAGCTACATATTGTCTGCTCCCGTAAGCGTGTCTAGAATAACATTGGTATAATATAAAAAAGAACTGTTCGAAAAGACAAATTGCCTGAGCTATAGTATTATTGAAATAACTGCTATTCTCTCTAGCTCAGTCTGCGTGTGGTATTTTTATATTTGGTATTTCGGTTATGCAGCAGAATTTCCTGGACTGTGAACAACACTGACGTACGAGAGAACAGTTCTATTTAATTATTTTATGCTGGTCCAACAACCATAAACATGTTCTTAATATGGCATGGTAATATTTCTAAGACAAAATAGGCAGGATCATGAGCAAATTAAATTTCTAGATGAGCTTTGATGTTTCGTGAAGACTAGCTTAGGATAAACCTAGTTCGGTTTGTGTAATGTAAGGACTACTCACATATTGCTATGATTGCCAAAATTAAAAAGCTCAAGAACTTGTGCAAAGCTGTCAGAAAGTATTCCCTTTAAAAAGCTCCCTATTTTATAAAGAAAACACACTGGCAATCGTTTTAGATGAGAAACATATTCTAATTTGTGAATAAAATGAAAAATATGTAGGATGATAGATAAAGAAGAAGATAGACTTAGATACAGTGTGCAGATGGAATATCTGTTTCTAAGCCTAATTCTGCTGTCGGGGAAAAATTTTGGTACCGCACATCAAGTTCGTTAAAAATTTAATAGCTAACAGATATCAACGACAAGGAATACAGTTACTGAAGCACCACAAGATACTAATGAAGACAAATATTCAATTAATTTACCCTAGTTTTAGCACAGCCATTAAGCTCGGAAATGTATACCAGGATACTCATACCAGGCATACCTTGGCAATAATATTTCTGTTGAACAGGATAGAGTATAAGGAATTCTCCTTGGAAAGCAATTGCTTTCATTTGAATAACATGGCAATTTGCAGGGTGGGTGCCCTTCATTTAACATTTCCTTCTCATGTTAGTCCAAGCAACGAAACTGTAAAAGGTAAAATGGGGTTGCATGGGTATCTTTTAAAAGATTATGATCAAAAAAGGAGCTATTAAACCTTCATATTCCTCTGAGCAGTTATCACCTTACCGTCAGTACCTCTACAGATGAATACAGATTCATCCTTTCTCTACTTTTTCTTGAAATTTTATCGACAAGCATTAAACTTCTTTCAGCTCTTAACGAAGTTGCATGTTCTTAAACGCAAATGTTTTTTAGACAATATTCCAAAAAACGCGGAAACTAATCGTCAAAATCCATAAGTACGTTGTATCAACGTTTTTTAAGTAGTACAATTTTCCTTGTACAAGTTCATCTATATACAGTACATCCAAAAGATGCCAGCTTTGTTAGGAACAATGATACACATACAACAGATTGCAACATAGGGTGCTTATTCCTTTGAAGCTTGGATATATTTGTTATCAATCTTTGATGACTGATTATAATAGTTCTTGATACGTACTTTGAATGCAAGAAAAACCAATAACCCCTTTAAATACAAAACAGTTCACCAAACATCAATAGGCGTGTATACAATTTTTCGGATGAGCTCATCCATAACAGCGGGTATGTTTAGTGAGCAACAACTTGAGAGAAAAAATGGGTTCCGGTGGGATTCCGTGGAGCCGTCCTAACCAATTAGTCTTGTAACGTGCCAAAATCACATACACTTTTTTTACTATTTTGATCTCTTACCAGTAATTTGAATTTCTCTTTATTAATGGTATAGCACCGATTCCTAGGCCAAATTCAATTATTTTCTTTTGGAAAATTTCATAATGTAATGATGTATTGAGCTCGAAACCACCTAATCCTGAAAGTACGATTTTTGACATATTATATCTTTCTTTCTTTGCGACTCAGTATTGTGTTGAAGAAATTTCTCCATAACATGTCGTTGGTCCCTCGTAAAGTTGGTTTTCTATGGTCCGCCCACAGGCAACCAGCGCCCTCCTACTTTTGACATTGATTGACAGTCGGGCATTCCTGCTGAATCCTGGGTTAAGGTGTGACACACCGGTCCTCGTTTGGTTTCCAAATTTTGGGATATAGGTCCCCAATCACTAATTTATGGAATAGTACCCTTTTTGCACCTACCTTTCGTTGTTGGTTGGATGACGCTCTCTCCATTTTTGTGGATTTAAACCTCTTCAGCGGTAAGTTTTTTATACCATCTGACCACCTGCATTAATGCATGTGCAGAAGAAGTTTGCTCGATATCTGCTTCCTTTCAGTGGGAAGGCATTGAGGAAAACCACCATCTGTACTCCTCCAGCTTTGTAGCTACTTTGTAGCCGAGTTTACTGGGAGCCACCTGTTTCAATTTTAAAAAACCCTGATATAAGCAGGTAAAATAATATCATTTTAATTAACTCTTTTATAAATATTTATAGTATATTGGTTATTTTTAACTGAAATTCTTAGAGTGTACTTGATGTTGTTTGACATTTTTCGTATTCAAATGTGGGGGTAGTGTCTATCTACATGACACCTTCTCTCGAGTTTACTCCGTTACATTAATCATGATTTTGATTTTTGAGCTGCCATAAATTTTTTTTTAACAAGGGATAACTTTCTGAGGATATATTACTTTAATATGTGTTTCTTTTTTTTTGCCTTTGCTTTTCTATTTTAAAGTGAACATGATTTTTCAAGTTCGAGTGTTTTAATGAGTAGTCTTATCTCATAAAAAGAATAGAGAGTAGATTTTCAAGCAGTTTTTCTCTATCGTTTTTTAACACCGTAAATTTTTAATATGATGCAAGCAGCCCTACCTTGTGAGGTTCCTTACACCACTGTCCACTATTGGTCACTGGTTTTAACGTGAGCCTTTTGTGCGCCTAGAGCCGTGACTGGAAGAAGACAGTTGTCTATCCAGATAAGTTTAGGTTTAGGCGCTAAAATTTTTGTAAAACCTTCGTGCGTATGAGACAGTAAATATTTTGCAGGGTTAACTGTCAAGGTTTAATAATTTTATTGTGCGGCAGTTATAAATAATATCTTTTTTAACTTGCACTCCAGTGGTGAAACATATATGTTATTAAACTGGTTAATATATTGTGATTGTTTTAAATATCTTGTTTCATTTGACTCTCTGTACAATTAATCAGTTAACGTCATTGCTACTACATCCTTTTATTTTGTGTCTGTGGTCAAGCAAAACAAGTCTCGACTAACATCTCGGGGATTTGTGGCTTAATCCATCTTGAGTCAGTGGCGCTCTTAACCCCCTACTCTTCGCTTTATTGAGCTATGGCCTAAATTTTCACGCCACTAGACAGCTATTTTGCATTGACCGACCATTTATTTATCGTGTTTTATTAATATATTAATTATAAAAAAAGGAAGGAGAAAACACGCCACCATTTCCTTTATTTATAAAAAAGTCGGGTCAGTCTACACCACCAGCTATGAACCAACGTTCAGGATCGACTGTTAGATTTAAATTGCTACCCACGCCAGTGTTCCTTTGTTCTTTGAAGCTGTTTGATGCCCCATCTGGAAGCGTTCAAGTGAAACAAACCGGACTGGTATCTCCAATCGGTTTCTAGTTGCACCGCGCCATTTAGTAAACACCACGGTCTCAAATATACTGAAATTCAGAAGAATGCAAATTTCAAACTGCGATTCTTAGCGAAAGAAAGAGATATTTCATCAGACTCAACGGCATTTGAAAAGGCATGGCTTGTACTTTGAGACGTTGTGAACGGTTTTTCAAAAAAATAGTTCGCCGTGTTAGATTAGCGCATAGACCGACAGAAATGAAAGACATGTTGTTTTGTGATGTGCGTATCTCATTTTCGAAATATTTAGCTATTCAACACCTCCTCGCAAATTGGTGTAGAAATAAAATGATAAAGTTTGTAGTCTATCTCCTGAACTAAAGAGCAACAGTACTCGGCACTGCAGGAAGTTGGTATTTGTTACAATAAAATCGTTAGCTTATTCCCCTGCGTATCGAAATGAAAACAAATGAATGTCGAGTGACCAGCGGATGAACCGTGTCACGGCCTACTAAGTTTAGGGTTGAAGTGAGCGTGTAGCCATGGAGGGTAGGCATTTCCTGTTGCTCTGCCTTTCCTTCCGTTATTAATCGTCAAACAAAGTGACCGTTGGCCTGTTGCTCTCTAGAAATTGTAGGTTGTGTTTTTTGTAGGTCGTTATTGAAGTTAACAGGCATATCAGTACTTAAAGGTCGGAGGAATATACAAGATGCGTTTTGCCACGTGGCAAAGACAATCGCATTGATATTAGTGCTCAGAGATGTTTCACGTCCCCTGCAGAAAAGAAATTTTGCATAAAATGGTCAAATCTTGTATCGCGAAACAGATGCACTTTTTAATTGATAGAAAAATATCGATATCGGTTTCTAACAATGATATTTTTTCATATCTTCTACAGTCAAATTCTTAGAGAAAGATTAGAAATGTTGTCCGTTGAATATTTCGTTTTCGTTCAGCGCTATCCGCAAAAATGGAGTAGAATTTTTGCTTAAGGAATAACGTTGGTCATAAAAAACAAGACTTTTGCCTTGGTTTTTCCATATCCAAAAGAATTTACATGTGTTGCAAGACCTTTCAGTTTCAAAAAAGTAACAGTATTGAATCGAAAACAACATATAAGGCATATAACCAACATACATAGATAGGTACAAACAATTAAACCACAAAGCAGCCATCATGAGTAGATTTGAGGGCATCGGTATACTCTCAGACCGAATTCTGCAGAAAAGATTTTACAGTAGTTTAGAAGCATTAAAGTGAAGGTTTCTTATTTTAGTTGGTAATAGATTGTATAGTTCTATTTTGAGAGAGTTTTTTTGAAGACCTTTCAAGCCGATATTCAGGAGGTAGTACCATTTCAGCTAATCGGGTTCAATTCAACTTGAATGTCAAATCAAGTTGATATTTGCTTTTGTTTTTACGGATCTCTAATAGTTGGTACTAGATATACAGCCACGGTAAGGTCAATAATTTTAGATCGGTAAAATGTGGCCTACAGGGATCGCGATACCCGTCACCCACAATCAAACGAACGACCTTTTTCTGCAGTCCAAAAATGTCCAATGACGATTAAGTGTTTCCCCACGGTCATATTCCGTAGCTCATTTGACCATAGAAGAGTGAACAGTGCCCTGTTAGAAACGATGACTCATTTAGGAATTTCCTTAGTTTCCGGATTACATATACAGTTGAAGACAATTTGCTATTTAAGGACATCACATGTGCCTGCCAATTTAGCCTTCTGTCTATAGTTATGTCAATTTTCACTGTATGCTTTTGACTATTGTGTGCCGAAAACGTTATTTCTGGTGCTTTGCTTTTATGTTAGATGATTATAGCAAAACCAAAGCTTAGCCTTTGATTTACTCTCCACCATTTTTGCTAGTTTATACACACAGTGCGTTTCTAATTAATGTGGTATCAGCAGCATAACACTCAGCTCTGATGGGTAACAGGAAGTTAAACAAGTCATTAATGTACGTTATAAAGAATTCAAGTCTAAAGACAGAGTCCTGGGGTTCGTCACAACTCTCACATCTGAAACGTCATCCAAGAGCTTGATAGGATTGGAGTAATTTCCCCGGAACGCCTCTTACACCATATTTGGACAACTTTTCAAGCAGGAGTTGGTGGGAGGCACAGTCAAAGGCCTTACTGAGATCATCATTTATTCCACGCTAAGACAAACACGAGCATTAAATCGCCGCTTCTAAATATTTAATTGTCGCTGCCTGCCGAGGTATTCATGGCTCATTGGTTAATAGGAGCTCACGAATTTGAACGACGCTCGCTGGTATTTACATATCTACAAGGATTAAATGAAATTTGCATACACAATACAGCTGACACTCTAAAGTATGTCTATATTTTGATAATTGTTTCTGAGCACAGCTAAAGCAAGATAAACTCAACGAAAATAAGGTTACTTGAACTGTAGACAAATGGAAGGCTTTCAAAAAGTAAACAAAATGCTTCAGTCTACGACACATC